ACTCAGCCCCTGAGGGTGCAGGGGTCAAGCCAGCTCTCTCCCCACCCTAAAGACCCCCATGCCACGCACTTGATGGGTCCCAGGTTCTGGAATTCCTCCCGAATCACCGCTCGAGCCCTCTCTTCTGCATCAGCTCTGATGTCAGATTTCTTCTTCCTCCACCCCCTGAAACAGACAGTGGAGAGTTCAGGAGTGGCCACTCACTTCTCCCCAACTCCACCAACACCTGGCCAGGCCTCATTATCTCTATTCTGGAGACTGCAATGGCCTGCTGAGAGGTCTCCCTGCCTCTGTCTTCCCTTTCTAAAATCTGTTTTCCCATCTATAGCCTGGATGACCTTTCAAAAATGTAAATCTGATCATATGACTTCCAGGCTTAAAATCCTTTAGGGGGGTCAAACAGACATATGAATAAACGGACAAATGAATGAAATGAAATAGAAAGTCCAGAAATAGACCCAAACACAAATGGGGATTTAGTCTGTGATAAAGTTGGTATCACAGACTGATGTGGTAAAGATGGGCTATTCAGTCAATGGTGTTGTACATATAGATCACTGGAATAGAATTGGGAGCCCAGAAATAAACCCATACATCCATGGCCCATTGATCTTTGACAAGGGTACCAAGACCATTCAATGAGGGACAGAATAGTCTTTCAACAAATGGTGCTAGGACAACTGGAGAGCCAGATACAAAAAACTGAATGTGGACCCTTACCTCATACCACATATACAAAATTTAACTCCAAATGGATCAAAGACCTACATGTACGAACTAAACCTATACAATTCTTACAAGAAAACATAAAGGGAAGTTTTCATGGCCTCAGATTAGTCAACTATTTCTTAGATAAAACACCAAAAGGTCAAGTAACCAAAGATAGATAAATTGGACTTCATCAAAATGTAAAGCTTTTGTGTGTCAATACATGGTGTTGGGACAGCCGCATGGTCAACTGGGACAAAAAACGAAGTTGGATCCAAACCTCACACTGCGCCCTAAGGATAAACTCCAAATATACAAAAAAATGTGCATGTAAAAAATATAAAAATACCAGAAGAAAAGAGGTGATTACGTTTTTTATAACTCCTTTAATGGGAAGGCCTTTTTAACTGTAATTGAAAATTCAGAAGCCATATGAGAGAAAATTAATGCATTCATCTACATAGTGCATTTCTTAAAAATTATTTGTAAAAGAAAGCACTGTAAGCAAAGTAAAAAATAAATCAGGAAAAAAATACTTGCAACTCATACTGCAGAATCATCACTCACCTTTCAATCTATCAAGAGTACTAAAAGTCAGTAA